CGAAACGATGAAAGTAGAAGCACTTATTGACAGATGGCTTTCGTGGAGTAGTAAAACAGTTCCAGTCTTGTGGTCTAGCACACATGACTCAGCAGTTCAACTTGTCTCGTTCATCCGTAAGGCTACCACAGATTATACACAAAGATTGATAAGTGAAATTAAAAAGTTAAATGTGTTGTTAGAACCCTCAAATCCTTCACTTATCGGTAAATCTATGATTGATAGTGCCTAGACATATGATTGACATCTTTTCTGTTTAGAAAGTAATGGCCAGACATGCGACTGGGTACCTGCTGTATTCATGAATATGAATACCTCACAATCTCAAGTTTATGGAGGTGTATGTCTGCTACCAATAACAAAGTCTGGATGTGTGAAAGAGAATCCTGGTGCTTGCTCATTTCCTGCTGATAAAGAACTTAGTAGTGATAACACGAGGAAAATGACGGATCGTAGTGGTGGTACGTTCCAATTTTTATTCTTTATCTTATAGGATCCTCAATTAGTACCAAGAAAAAAATTGAGTCAGATCTTCTTTAGTGTGCTACTGAGCATACAAGTTTAGCACACAATGAACTTTCATCTGCTTCAAGCATATTCTGTGCAGCTTTTATTTGACATTCAGCTAAAATAGCTTTAATCGAAAGAATAATCCGAAATCAACAGACTAAGTTAGAATTTAGAACCGAAGAAGAGGTCTAAGCTTGGTTTTTACTAGAATAGTCTTAATCTATGAACTCGAAGAGTTTTATAATAGCACTCAGTTATTATTAATTTATGAATTACGTAGCCGAATTACAAAGATTGATAGTACCCAGGTTATCTAATTCGACCAGTGAATCTTGCCAGTACTTATTGCATCTAATATCGGGAAAATACCATCGATTTCTCTTGTGAACAATGATCGGATCACATGGAATCATATGTGAACCGCATGTCCGAATAATTCGGATATTTTCAGATGATCAATCTCATCAGCAAGTGTTACCTGACACCATTGGATCCAGTGTCAGATCACAACGACAACTGGCATCCTACGTAAAGAAGTGATCAGATCCTGTTGAAGCCAGCAGATCTGTCTCGTGGAAACGGCTGGGCACTGTCCCAGTTCATAATGCCTATAATTAGATTACACTGGATTCCAACGACAGAGGCTGAATTCGATCATATTGGAAGGGATCTTGTCTTAGGTATAGCTTCTAATTGATCTAACTGTTTTGTGATAGATTGCTAAATGAACCAGTAGTCTGATAGAGTAAAATAAAGATCATTGCTGTACTATTTCAACTGCACAAGCGATTGTCGCTCTGAAGGTAGCACCTCTTTCGCACTTTTGTATGCAGTTTTTCAAGTATGTTAGTGATTTTTGTTTGTCAGACTCTTTTAGGTAGAGTTATAGGTTTAATCAAAAGCGATAGGGCAAATAAAAATTCGCTTTCATTAATACGATAGTGAAGTTAAGAAAAAGATGCAATGGCATTTTGCTCTGTGAAGCGATGTTGAAGAGCATTTTCTTTCATGCTGCTAAATTTCTAATCCTCTTAACCGTCTATCTTGTATATTTCAATTCTATGAGCGACTTGAAATAAAGCTTCGTCGACGTTTTACTAAGACTCTTATACAACCATAAGACAACTTAAGACATAAGAATAGTTTTTGATTTTTAATCAACAAGGTTACATATCTGAGATAACTGCTGCGGCTAGATGTGGACCATTTTATGCAAATAAAGTTATCAAAAGACCTTGTTAAAGGTCTTCGATCTTTGAAGAGTCATGTTAGAACAGCGCATTGTCATAGACTCAAATCTCTTGACTACAAAAACGCTTAGAAAAATGCATCAAACCACTTGTCCACCGTACTAAAATGGACACGCTTTGATTTTCGAAAAATATATTTACACCCGAACACTTAAGAGATAGTATGAGTCTACAAAATGGTTCTTCTGTTGCCTTGCATCCATCTCTAAGTCATGAACTCTAGCCACTTTGGATTACAGAACACCACATACAAATAAAATGAATCTTTGAAAAATATTTATTCCTTCCTTCAGTATGCTTCATTATGTACCTCAAAACAGTAATATATAAGCAAAAAAGTAATGTTTCACAATATGAATAGTGAGACTTCATAATAAAGATTAAAAACAAGCATAATAAATATCCTTTTTGCTTCGCATAAGATGGTCAGGGTGATTATATACTCATCCATATCGCTTTTCTTTACCTGGAGCTGACTGAAAACAAATTAACCATTGATTATCGTAATTCTTCTTAACATCAAATACTGCACGACCACTCATAATGAGTTTAATGTAGTAAAGAATTTTCTCTTCCACATCCATCGTGTGGTTTATTATTTGACAATTTGAGCTTTTCTTTATAACATAACCGACGCAAAAGGTGTTTCATCTGTGGACTACATCAAATGCTTCTTACTCTCCTTGCGATATGTACTTAGATGATGGAAAAAGGTGACAAGAACAAATAATTAAGTATCCGTAAATGGACAATTTTACATTTTCTCAATTTGATCTATATCGAAAGTCGTAGGGTCCTCAATTGGTACTTACCATGGTATTTTTCATAGTAAGAGTATTTTCCTTCATCTTCTTTTCAAAAACTAAAATCTTCAGTTTATATCTTTCTTTTTCAAAGAATTTTTTCATTGAAAAAGGAAGAATTTCTGTTTTAAACAAACCTAAAGATCTGACTGCATGAAAAATCTTAAGTAGACGGAAATGCTTCAAAGATAAGTGCAAAACTAGAAATGTTCCGTTTTCTCTCTCCAACATTTTCATTCGAAAATACATTTCTAATAATTTGAAATATAAATAGTTGAAAATAGTCCTCTAGAAAACTGTTTTTGCACTGTCTAAAACTTTTCGAAAGTGGTAATAGGAAATAAAAATTAATTAACTGTTATGTTGTACATTCAATTCAGAACCTAGACTAAGGAACTGTAAAAATGGTTTTAACCCTGCAAGGTCAATTTTAGAACCAAAAATTATATTTTTCGGAGCTGAGACTAAAATTATTCGTTTTGCTAGTTTCAGAAAATTGCTTCGCGTTCAGAATACAATTCGATTGTATGCTCAAATCGATTGATAAAAAGTAATTTTTTATTGTGTCATAAAAAGAAAGATAAAAATCAATGTTTTTAAATACCTATTAATATTAAGATGTTTATAATATTCATACAGAGACAGACAATAGACCGTGTATACGATTTACGAGAGCACAATGAAAAATGTAAATATCACATGACGCGCATTTTATGATCTACATCAAGATAGAATTTTCTAAAAATTTTCTTTATATTCGCTTTTAAAAAAACAGGACCGGGATCAACAAAAAGTGGTTGCGTAATTTCCTAAACTAGACACTTTTCTATTTCTTTTTCGATATCTGCACACCAAAATCATGCTTTCATTAAAAAGAAACTCAGTAGTACGTATTAAATATCTCAATCAAATGACTCCGTTCTAAGTACTTTACGCAGTCATGATGATTGAGAGAAAACGGCAGAAAGCGATTAAGTTATTCAATGTCTACCGTTATAACTATACATATAATCGATGAAATGTTTTAGACCAAGTTTCTAATGGATCGATCAACAAAGGCGCTGGTAACAGATATCCAACTGGTTCTGGAAGTAGTTCTAGTGCCACTAGCAACCAAGATTCTTTTGGTAGTAATATCAATGGTAGAAGCAATTTCTTTTCTACGCCTAACAAATGGAACAACCATCAACATGGTCATAACGGCGGCAGTCCAAGTAATCCCTTTCAATTGACAAACAATAATAGTTACAATACGATCGACTACGGTTGTAACTTGAGTCACGTTAATGGCATTCACGATTTTTCCTGGTACACTAAGAGGGCCATGAATTATCCTACAAGTAATCATTGTGAAAGTACTGATGACACTGATAGAACTGATGATACTTATGATAGTGGTACAGATAACTATGATAGTAGTACTTGTGACAGTGGTTATAACGACGATGATTGGAGTAAAAATCAGCAAGAAATAGCAGAGCGACAGAGTTGGATCGTTGTTTTTCTTATGTCAAACTTTAGCAATGATTACGATTCGAGCTCCAATCATGAAAATACTCACACATTTGATAATGCTGTCGACTGTTTTAACTGCTTGTCATTAATTGGGGATGGGCAAGTGTTAGTAGTTGTTGCTGATGAGTACGCAAATGATCAACTAACCTTGAAAAAGTTGCAAGGTTCATTATCGGTATCTGTTATTTATCGAAAACTTGGTGGTCAAGATCAACGGCCATTGTATACCGACAAAGAACTAAAAGATATTTGTCCAAAAATCCAATGTTCATATACTGATGAAAATCCATTCGCAGCTCCGTTTCTAGCTTCCTCGAACGAAGTCTTCAACGTTTTTAGTCCGAACAATAAGGAAATCTCGACTCGTAATCTTAACGAAGAGAGCATCACATTTCTCTGGTATCAAATAATGATAGATCTTATTTTGTCTTTTTTGTCGACACCAGAAGCAAAGTCTGATTTTTTTGCGGAGTGCCGTCGACTTTGCGTTGACGACTCTTATCGACTCTCTGAAATTGACAAATTGGAAAAGACCTATGAAGCAAAAAAAGCATTGAAATATTACACAAATATTACTTGGTACTATGAATTCATTAATCGAGCATTGCGCTGCCAGAATCTATCGAGTATCTATCATTTGCGCATGGCTATAATTCAGATAAACGAGCAACTTAAAACTATGAGAACTGGAGACACAAAGATAGCTACACTTTATCGTGGTCAAAAAATCGGAAATTATGAAATTGAGAAACTACGCCGTAATATCAATGGCCTTATATCGTTTAATTCTTTTTTATCCACATCAAGGGATAAAGTAGTAGCTCATATGTTTGCTTCTTCTGAAGGAAGTGAAGAAACCAATGTGACGTTCATAGTTTTTGAAATGAAGATTACTTCAAGTTTATTTAGTGATATCTCACAGATGAGCGCATATCATGACGAACAAGAATCTTTACTGCTAATCGGAACTATTTTTAAAATTATTTCCGTTGAGAAAATTGAAAAAGATCAAGGAAATTACTGGTACGTCCAATTAATTGATTCTAATGATGATGATCTTAGTAATTTGAAAGCAAAAAAGGAGCAACTTTTACAAAAACTAGAAATTACCAAAGGTCCATTCAAGTTAACGTGGGGCCGCTTTTTATATAACATTGGTGAATATGATGTAGCGGCAAAACACTATGAAAAATGGCTGAAAGATTTAGAAAATATCGATGATAATGAACTTTTAGCAACCATACATAATGATTTAGGAGTCATATATTATCATAAGAAAGATTATGTTAAATCAAATGAGCATCATTCATTGGCATTTACTCACACTCAAGCGGCACCGTTTCCATTCTGTCCCACGGTTTTTTATGAAAATCAAGGTGGTACTCGAATCAAGTTAAAGGAGTATTCCAAAGCGTTTGATGACTTTCGACGTGCATTAGGCATCGAATTACGACGAAGACCAAGACATGAACTCAATATTGCTCGTATACATGCAAATATGGGCACTATTTGTTATCTTCGACGTCAATATCGTTGGGCACGCAACTATCTTCAAAAAGCGTTTGAACAACAACGACGCATATCCCTGGCAAAATCCGATGAATTGGCTGTAACATGCAACAGTCTTGGCAATGTCTATACAAAACTAAATGATTATGTCAATGCTGAAAAATTCTATTCTCAAGCATATAAAATTGCATATAGTTCATTACCTCAAGAACATGAAATAGTGAAGTTATTCGAAAACAATTGGAATGAGTCGCATAAAAGACTAACGGACATGAAGCTTGATACTAACAAAAATGTATCTGTTCAAGCATCAGACCCTGTCAAACGTCGAAATAGTGACATCAGTATTTCTCAAATAGAGATTGTAACATAAAACCTAGCCACTAACGCTTTTTTAAACTTGTGATCGAGTGCAAATGTGAGTCATTCTTGTTGCATCCGTACACATCAACATCCATACCTACACACCCTGTTATTTGGCACTTCTTAAACGTAGTTTTTATTATCTGAAGTTACTCTGTTAACGATTTAAGTTAAACAAACTTTCATTAACATTCCAATGCCCATTGAAACAGATGTTTCGTTTCGTTTTCGGCACTTTATTCTTCATAATTCTAAAGAAAAATAAGGAATATGTTTTTCGGAATATATCAAATGATTAAAAGTTTAAAATGGAATAACGAGATTTACTCGAATATTCTCTGAGTTCCAGACTGTTGACAGCTAACAATAGTGAATCTTTTGAAATGTATCAACTGCAGTATATTTGTATGTGAGAATTTTATAAACTAGTTTTCACATATATACTAGAAATTTTTTGGTTATCACATAATTAAATCGCGTCTCAAAAACTATGATATACATTGAAAAGCTTCAGAGTTGGTGAGAGACTGAGAAGAACGGTGAAAAAGAGAAAAAAATAATAAGTACAAAATAGAGAGAAAAATTGACTTCCTGTATCAACTAGATATATCCTATTGGCGCATAAGTTCTGAGAATTTTTTTTTGGTTTAACAATAACTTTATTTTTCAACAAAGATATGCAACATCAATCAACAATATAATCGCCATTATTTTCGACAACCTTCGCCCATCTTTCTGGCAATAGTTCAATTCCACGTCTGTAGAAACTACCCGGTTTTGATTCGAAAAAGGCAGTTAGATCGGATTTCAGCTCATCGAAGTCTTCGTAGTGTTTATTGCACAGGTAGTTATGAAGAGATAGGAACAGATGATAATCGGATGGTGCAAGGTCTGGTGACCACGAGGGGTGCGGAAGAACTTCCCATCCTAAGTGTTCGACTTTTTGCTGAGTCAACTGTGTCACATGAGGTCGACTGTTGTCATGGAGAAGGATGACGGCTTTTTGATTCGCCAAAGCCGGTCGCCTTTGAGATAGAACTTCATTCAATCGCTGCAATTGTTGAGATTAGACATTGGCGGTAATCGTTTGATTGATATCTAACAGCTCGAAATAGATGGCACCTTTCATATCTCACCAGATGTACAACATTATCCTCTTTGGATGCATGTCTGGTTTTACGTCCGGGGATGGCTTTTGGTCAGGATCAAGCCACTGCCTTCTGCGAAGCACGTTGATATAATACACCCATTTTTCATCTCCAGTGACAATTCGTTGCAAAAATGGCGTATGCTTCTGTCGGGAAAGCAGTGAAGCACAAATCGATGCTCGCTGAACCAATTTGTCTTTGGATAATTGGTGTGAAACCAAACGTCCATACTTATGTACCTTACCGAGAGCATGAAGATGACGCTCCACTGTCGAGTGGTGACAGTTGAGTTGTTCGGCTAATTCACGTGTTGTTTGACGTGGATCAGCGTCGAGCAAAGCTTGCAACACTTCACCGTCAAAGTCCACAGGTCACCAGAAGCGAGATTTATCCGTCAAGGTGGTATCTTCGGAACGGAACTTGGAAAACCATCGGTAACAAGTGGAACTGCCGACCGCTTCCTCGCCATATGCCGCATGAATATTCTTTGTTGCTTCAGCTGCTGTTGAACCTCGATCGAATTCGTAGAGCATACAGCGGCGAATATGAATTTTTTGTTCATCCAGTTAATCATAAACAAGGTAACAAGAGAATAGAAGAGAATATATATATGGGCGTGGCCAGCCAGTGGGAGGTCCCATAGGACATAATATTATTCCAGGGAGGAGTATATAATGAATTTTATACCAAATGAAAGCTCGTCAAAAATGGGATTTACTGGTACTAAATAGTAAGAGTTTTGTAAACTTTGTAATGTCGACCTTAAGAAATTTCGAGAAATTGCATGCATTAAAAAACGTTAAAAAACTCACATTCTCTATATGTAAGAAAAACACTAGATTTTCCCCTAAAATTAGCTTTTTTCATTATTTCTACTACCTCACATGTTTCGAAATACTTAGGGTATACCAAAAGTTCTGATCACAGTTTTTAAAATTTAATAAAGTAATAAATATTGAATATTTTACTAAGGCAATATATAGTATAACGTCTCGTCTTTAATAATATATAGAGCAACTCTCTCTTCGACTTAGTTCTAACATCCTTTCAGACTAAATCTATAGTATTTATAGCCAAGAAAAGATCATGCCAACATAAAACCACAATACAGAAACGAAGAGACATTCGTTATTTTATTTTATTAAATGCTCAAAATAATCACCATTATTTTCGATACAAAGTTTCATTCTTTCTAACAGTTTATCGAAAGTCTTTTTAAACTCGTTTATTGGAATATTCTTCACTATGGTGGAAACCTCTTGAGCTAATGATTCTTCGTTTGTGTGATCCGTCAACTTGTTCTTGATATAATCATTTAGCCAAAAGTCACACGGTGCGAGATCTGGTGAATATGGTGGATGTGGAATGATTTCGATTCCTTCCTCCATTAAATAATCAATAACATCTGGATGAGTATGAGGAGGACCATTATCATGAAGCATTTTATATGTAGTACGTGATGACTTTTCCTTTTTTCTTATTTCATTGATAACAGGTATAAGACAATTATCAATATAGTAGTCATGATCGATTGTCTTGCCCTTATCTACTTTGTGTATGAGAAGAGAACCAGTGGATTTGAAGAAGAAGCAAAATAGTGTTCTAGGTTCAAATCTATTCCGACGAACAATGGTTCTTGGTGGTTCATTTTCGCCAACCCAAGTAGCATTGCTTGACTTTCGACCAATCTGCCTGTGATAAATCCATGTCTCATCACCAGTAATAACATCACATAAATGCCATGTTCCATTTCTAAATTTCTCTAAATTTTGACGACAAATTCTAAGTCGTTTTTGTTTTTGTTCGTCAGTAAGTTGATGAGCAACCCAACGTGATGTAACTTTTCTCATCTTTAGACGATCATGAATAATTCGTTCTATTGTACCACGTGATAGATCAGTCTCACCCATAATATCATCATAAGTTGAGTGTGGATCATCTTCGATAACTTGTCGAACGCGTTCAACATTTTCATCTGTAAGTACCGAAATCGGACGACCAGATCGAGGATCATCAGTGACATCGTCTCTTCCTTCACGAAAACGTTTCGCCCATCTTCTGACTGTTGGATATGATGGAGCATCAGGTCCCAATGCCTCTGTAAGTTCGTCAAAGATTGTTTTTGAATCTATTCCCAAAATAGCTCGAATTTTGATATAATATCGATTGAATTCATCAGTCATGTTTAATGTCTTCTTTTAAGATTGAAATCAAATTCTATTACGATTTTAAGTCGAGTACGGTACAAATGAACTAACAGCGAACGACCTCTCATTTATATATACTATCGAAATGTAATATTCTAGAACATGGCGTCATAAAACGTGACGAGAGAGTGACCAATAGAAAGTTCCAGAATGTACCTGACCATTGAACAAGAATTAATAATATTTGCATTGTCTGTAAAATTATAGATTTAGTCTGAAAGGATGTTAGAACTAAGTCTAAGAGAGAGTTGCTCTATATATTATTAAAGACGAGACGTTATATTATATATCGCCTTAGTAAAATATTCAATATTTATTGCTTTATTAAATTTTAAAAACTGTGATCAGAACTTTTGGTATACCGTAAGTACACTTATTCGATTCAGTTTTTCACGCTGCATCTATTGAATATATTTCGAAACATGTGAGGTAGTAGAAATAATGAAAAAAGCTAATTTTAGGGGAAAATCTAGTCTTTTTCTTACATATAGAGAATGTGAGTTTTTTAACGTTTTTTAATGCATGCAATTTCTCGAAATTTCTTAAGATCGACATTACAAAGTTTACAAAACTCTTACTATTTAGTACCAGTAAATCCCATTTTTGACGAGCTTTCATTTGGTATAAAATTCATTATATACTCCTCCATGGAATAATATTATGTCCTATGGGACTTCCCACTGACTGGCCACGCCCATATATATAACGTTAATAGTGTGACGTATTACAAAATATGCAATAGAAATATTATTATGTAATAGATATATTATTGCGTAATAAGAACACAAAAGATCAAGGTCAATTTCAGTGTTTTTTTTTACCTTGAGAGAACAGGAACGAATGTATAGTAGTGAGATGAAAGTAAATGAAAGAATAAAAGAAATACACATAAAACAGTGGCGATTATATTGTTGGTTGACGTTGCATATCTTTGTTGAAAAATAAAGTTATTGTTAAACCAGAAAAAAAAAATTCTCAGAACTTATGCGCCAATGTAATAGATAAATTATTTTTTTTTGCTATTGATTAGGGTACGGGTGTATACTACATCTAAATAGGCATCTACACTCACATCCACATTCATATCCAAATGAGTTGTCAATATTCTCTGGTCAAGAGATGGATAAACATGTAATGATAATAATCAGTGAATAGATATTATGACTGTTTTGTTGTCTGATATAGAATAATTTTGAATAAATAATAAAGAATGGTACAATTAACAATCTATCTATAATAACAGTTTTTAATTTTTGAAGAAGATGAAAATAATTATAATATATAAAGTATAATCGATAATGTCAAGACCGTTATCAAAACGATTTTTATGTCATTTTTCTTTGTTCAGTAAACGATTGAATATGGCATTATAGCATAACTAAATGTAAAAGAAATAATAATGCTCATAAATAGTTACATGAACTCTCCAAAGAGAGAAAGTTCACAGCTTACTATAAAACTAATTATTATTATAATGTTTCTGATCAAATATATCTAATGGTAGCTATTCATGAAAATATTCTTGATATTGTAAATTTTTAATACCTATAATTAATTACTCTTTTTCGCCTTTAATATGAACAAAGTATATAGTTTAAGCTGAGGAAGTGTTCGTCTTAACTGTTTCCTAGTATAACGATCATAAATATCAAGAAAAAGACAATATTTGAATCGATATACAGGGGGGTGCAAAAGTCACTTAACTCAAAAGAAAATTGGATATCTCCATTACGGCTCGAGCAAATGAGCTGATTTTTTTCCCAATAATAGAGGCATGTACAAGCTATATATCCATAAAGACATGCCAAGAGAAACCCTTTGTTAAGTATATTGTTTTTTCACCTATCTGTCAAAAAGTAAAACGTTTTTTGTTGAGATCAATAGTGATACTTAACAAAGGGTTTCTCTAGACATGTCTTTATAAATATGAAGCTTGAACATGCCTCTATTATTAGTAAAAAAATCAGCTTGTTTGCTCGAGTTGTAATGGAGATATTCAATTTTTATTTTGGTAGACTGGCTTTTGCACCACCCTGAATATGGCCCAAAAGTTACGATGCCAAGGAAAAATTAAATATCTCCGCTATGGTCCGAACAACCAGGCTGATTTTTTTACCAACAATGGAAGCATGTTCACACTTTAAATCCATACGGATAAGATTAGAGAGAGCCCTTATAAAGTATTACTAATGACCTCAATAAAATAATTTTACTTTTTCATAGGTAGAATGGAAAACAGTATACTTAACAAACGGCTTTTCTCTAGGCATGTCTTTATGGATATAAAGCTTGTACATGCCTCTGTCATTGGTAAAAAAATCAGTTCGTTTGCTCGAGCCGTAATGGAGATATTGAACTTTTTTTGGGTAAAGCGCCTTTTTTTTCAGACTGTGAAAAATAAATTTTTCTTGTTGAGGTCAATAGTGATACTAAACAAAGGGTTTCTCTTGGCATGTCTTTATGGATATGAAGCTTGTACATGCCTCTATTATTGGGAAAAAGATCAGCTCATTTGCTCGAGCCGTAATGGAGATATCCAATTTTCTTTTGAGTTAAGTGACTTTTGCACCCCCCTGTACTTTACGTATGTCATTACGTTTTTTTTGCCTGCAACAAAAGAACGTCGAACATGCTTGTTCGATTTTGAGGATAATTGTTACGAAGGTGAAAATGAGGATCGATTAAGTTGTGGTGATGGTTCAGTAATAATAGACGATGATTATATAGAAAATAAATGGTCTTCATCTTAAGTGTATTCAAGGTCAATGTAGGGTGATGATGTATCAGTTAATAAATAAATAAATAATTAGTTTTGTTTCTATTCAAATTAATAATCAGCATTCTAAAATAGGTTCACGGAAGTGTGTTGCATTGAGACAATCATACACTCCGGGTTGTATCATTTTATTTAATGTATCATGTGATAATGTTGAATAGACTGTGAGTGAGTGTTGGTTGGGTGTTAGAGGCTGACGGGACTTATTTTTTCGGAATTTATTCTTTTTAGCAGATTTACTTACTCTTTGACAAGTTATTAATTATTTACAGCATATTCACATCCCACACGTGCAGCAACACCCATATCCTCAAGGTAAATCAACATACCACACCTAATCACACCGATACCAACACGACACGCCCACACTCTCACTCTCAGTGCAAGAAGTCTGATGCACGATGATGAACAACATAATTCACAGAAGAAATGTTTATAACATGATTTATTGGAAATAGAAAGATGAGACTACATAACGGGTGTGGGTGTGGGTGTGAGTAGGGGTGCGCCAGTGCCAGTAACTGGGTCCCAGTCGGACTGGATACCCACTCCGACTGGACACCGAGTCACGACTGGGTACTTAGTCATTTGACGTTTATACCGCTAACCGATCAGTACTTCCCTCTTTTCTAACGGTGTGGGTGTGCGTGTGGATTTGATGTCGCTATGGATGTCGTTATTGTCATTCTAACCATTCCCATATCCAAACAACATCCACTCCCACATCCATCCAAACAACGCCCATACTCACATCCACACACCCACACCTACACCCTAGCTACACCCACACCATGAAGACATGAAATTTATTTATAGTATTCTAAATTATAACGATTGATATATACGTATATATGATTAGCCAATGGATTCAGTGTTATAGTTTATATCAGTACTTCAACAGCCTAAGAATCACTGTATGACAATATACTAGAAAAGAAGAAAGTACTACTCGACTAATGGACTAAAGATCAAAGGACTCAGTACCCAGTCGTGACTGAGTCGCAGTCGGACTGGGTGCCCAGTCGGACCGGATACCCAGTCGGGCTGGACACCCAGTCCGACTGGATACCCAGTCCGACTGGGACCCAGTTCACCAGTCAGGACTGGGACTGGTGCATTCCCAGGTGTGAGTGTATATCTCCATCGATACCCACATCCATATCCATGCCCACACCCATATCGACATCCACACCCACATCCACACCACACATCCACACCCACACCCACACCCACACCCACACCCACATCCACCTACACCCGCACCCCACACTCACACTCACACCCTCACACAGATAAGCTTGATAACTTAAACCAAATTCAAATAAAATACACAATTGAAACATGTTATCTGTTGTTCAAAGATAATAAACAAGTTTTGTCAAGTTGAATGTTCAACATGAATTTTCTAAAAAAATTTTTTTTTGAAATAACAAAATGTTTATATATATTTCTTTCATTGAATAATATGTTGCGAGATTTATATTCAAAAACAATAAACTTATCAAAATTTAAAATAACAAACTATTGATGCTGAAAAATTTATCGAAATTAATTTTTGCATTTGGTTGTAAAATTATTTTTGAATTGAAAATGGTAAAATTGATTGTCTCTTCTGATCTGTATATATAAAGAAGAAAGTTTGTTTGTCTGTCTGTTCTTTATGCATTTGGTCCCTGTAAGAGCCAGTGCAACCTGGGGCGTGGATGTGGGTGTGGGGATGGGGGTGTGGGGATGGGGGGTGTGAGCGTGGATGTGGATAGAGGAAAGAAACACCCACACCCACACCCTATATGCTCTACACATATGTACTAGTCTAGTTCTCAAGCTATAATACTTAGTCTGATGATTAACGAGAACCCATTTATTGGATTATTGATTTGCTTCCATTTATAAAAATAGTAAAAGCAACAAAAACAGCGTATTTTTTAAATATTCGACGAAGTTTTATATTCGTCTACAGTGTTCAGTGGCTAAATCTTCATATGAAGGCATTATACCCATGGACCGCTGTTCAAACATTTTTCCACCACCAAGGGTAAGACGACGCGAAGCATTATTATAGAATTGTTGCCATTGTTTAGCTAGATCAGGTGTCCATTTTATATTAGTTAATAAGTACTTGAATTTTAAAAGATCATCAATTTCTCTAGAATAAAATTTTATCATAACCATATGTATATAAGAATATTCTTATAAATTTCTATCAGTAATATAACTTACGATGAATTGTTTAAAAAATTTCGCCATGATGACAAATCATTTTCTGTTCGACATAGGAAAAGATTATTTATTCGAGGATAATACATAAATGTATGCATACACATTTCGTCTTTTGTTCGTTCACCACCCTAAAAGTAAAAGACAATGAAGGATAACAAGAATATTTGTTATTAACAATATACCAATGTTATTTCATCTTTGTTATTTGTACTGTATACACATTGTGTAACAAATTCATCACCCTAACAAAAGAAAAGATAATTAGAATATATTTCATTAGCATAATATAAACAAAAAACTAAGGTTTATAAAATAATCCAAAAATCTAAGCAATTAGATGTTTCGTCTCATATAATCATCCGATTGAAGAATTAATTTGATCTGATTCCGAAATAAGACTTTTGCTCGTCTCATTTAAGAAGACGAAGTAATAAGGCTACTGAAAATACGTTTAAAATAATTCGACATGCTTCACTCACCATAATTGTTTTTTGTTTCATATAATGGGAGGAAGACCACTATGGTTAAGTGGTTACGTTGCTCGACGTGTATCCACAATATACTGTGTTCAAACCTCAGTATCACCATCCATGGTATGACCCTGGACAAGTCACTAACGGCTAAGTTGTCTCAAATGACTCATGCGTAGCGTGCTGAATACATCCTTAGTCAGTATGTTTGACGGAAGAGGTACAGATACCGTCGTCTGTAAAAAGAAAAAGACGAAAGAAACCAGCTGCATATGGACCCTAATAATAATCGCGACTGGCCCCAACGGGCGATAAACCTAAATGGGAGATTATTATTATTATTATGGGAGGAAAAGAGAGTTCGAAATACCGAGCTTATATGTCAAAATCAGTTGTATGTGCCATTTGCTTTTGTATCCGATGTGTTTTAAAGCTTGTCAGTACAGCCCCTTCGGTGCTGAAATATGGAACTCACAATCTCTGACTGTTAAAAATTTGTCACAAATTATTGGAAGTTCAAAACAACGTATTAAAATAATATTGAGTGATAAGAATTTTTATATTTAATAAGCGCGCTCTGAAATTTTATTTTATGAAAACGTTCATATTCATAATTACTGTAAAACGAAAGTTATTTTTATTGTCCGATACATCTTGGATGCATAATTTGTATCGACTTAAAAAAGATAATATTTATATAACTCATGTGAAATATTAGTAAATACTAAAAAATAATTCTAAATATTAAAAAACTACTATTAATTGATTATTGATTAATTTATTCATAATTTTCATAATTAGCTAATTCGTTGATTAGTTTATAATGGTCTATAATGGAGAGGGGAGGGTGGGTAACGGCTGCTATGGAAACATATCCAATTATGGTTTCACACCATATTATTGCTAGGTACTGTTTGCTAAGGAGACCTTCGAGAAAGCCTTCAATTTCCCAATATCTTGGTTTCTAGGGCATAGGCGATGGCGAAGCCGTAAAAACCTCGATTTAAAACTTACACTCACTATTTTTTTCGAAAACATATGTGAGTTCCACAAAATATATTTGCTTATGTGAGCTAACAAATGAACGTGCCTTAGTGTTTAATGACATATGGACTGTATTTTTGTCTATTACCAGACATCACCAGGAAATGCATCTATCTGATACCTTCCATCATACGCCATGTGCTATTTAACGAATAGAGTTCATTGCAGGACTGAAAGTTCTAAGAAGATATGTATGAATGAAGGAATTTCATCCCATAATTCAGTCTAAACATATATCTCATAGTATTTCTCATACCCTCAAAGTTTTGGATATTACTAGAATTTTAAGATTCATTTCTGGTCAAAATTTTAGACTAAAAGCTCAATAAGATAATCATAAGTCCAGAAGTAAAGTTTAAGCGAACATATCTGCTTAGAATTTTTATCTATATAAAGAAGTTTATCATTCAGAAGTGATAAATTTGAACAAAAAGCATCAGTTGATTGTGTTTCAACATCAGTGAGACCAGTATAGTCTGGTAACTAAACATGTCTAGATATAGAGTTGGGAAAACGTTCATATGTCATAAAATGTTCAAAGCAACGCAAAATTTCTCGAAAAGTTCTGCATTTCTAGAATGAAATATATTTTTCGGTTGAAAATTTCAAAATTCTCTAGCGACCATGAAACCAATATTCAGCTAGGTATAACAACACCTTTTTTCCTTTAACCTCTTTGGCTTTTATGATCTACATTCTTTCTCCGATGAATATCAATTAATGATAATGTTTATCTAAAAGAATATATCATTCTTGAAGTTCTTCTTCAACTTTTTTCATCTTAATGACACTATAAATTGGGACAACAGAGCTGGAATTAAATAGGTTTTGTCTTACTGGATAGAGTTCGATTGGTTTTGCTAGACGGTTTTCAAATTGATAATTAAAATTGAAAGATTCTCCATTGAATAGATATTGCACTGCTCGACCATTACGAATCAGCTTTGTCCATACACTTCGACCTAAACATTTTATATAGTTAACAACAAATGAAAGTCTTGTGATGGTTTTTACCTTGTAAATGAGTGTGTGGAATGGCACTAATAACTGTTATTCCAGATTTAGGAAAATCCTATGAATAGATAGAAAATAAATAATTGTCTTCAAATGGTCTGAACTAACTCAAAGAGTTGCTAGCATGATTATTTCTTCTTTTTTACTTTGCTTTGATTATAAAATATACTGCTCCCAATGATCTTGAACTACAAAGACTCAAGGAACAATATATCCTAGTCTGTCATGTTAGTTTTTTAAACAGACGCCAACAAGATTGCAGGATAAATAATCAATTTACAAAGGTCACAAGAGCGAGAATACATGAATAACGATTCGTTAGTCAAGAAAACTATTTTTGAGAAAATTTCATTAAAACTACAGATTGATTAGTTTGACACCTTTATGCACTAGATTCAGGTAACAATCGCAGTAATATTATGTCTGTTTCTCTGAAATTGAGTTTTTTCTAGTAAATTTTTCTCCGATTGTAACATGTATATATATATATATATATTATTTTCATGAAATCAATTGTTTATAATTTACTTCTGAGTTCATTCTACCACCCTTGCTCGCAATCAGAAAAAATCGGAAAACGACTTTTATTTGTTAAGAAGCCTGTTTTGCTGTCTTACTAATATAACATAATTCGATTTTTTTTGCTCATTCACTATGCTTGACTCGCTCTTTCCACTAGTTTTTATAGGAGAAAAAGCTATTTTATCTGCTGATTCAGTGTCCGTGACATACCTATCGAGTAAAACTTGCAGGTGAAAAGCAACCAAAGTATCGAATCTTTAATAATTTTTTTGAAAAAAGACATAATATAACTCTTTCTAATAAAAAAATACCTTCTCCTGATCCATTTCAAAAAGGCTCCAACTTTCTATGATACTACATGCCTTATATTGAGGTAATATAAAAGTACCATGAAATATTAGATCTTTAGTATCATTGGTGAAAGATTCTTCAATCAGAAGCCACCTTCTTCAATAACAAGACTTGATAGCTGACAAATATATTGATAGAAAAAATGAACGCAAAGAGAATAAACTACAAATGAGCGTGATCAACTGACTTGGTATCTCAACACTCATTTGTTTATATAACTTCGACTACTTATCAGAAAAATGTGTTTTTTTTTATCAGTTGTACCCCATATATAATACTATTGATCAGATATTTTTGGAGATCTATATATTACTAGGAATGAGAATTGTTAAGTACATCCTTGGAGTAATTGTGTTAAACGTACTTCATATTGTATTTGTTGACATCTTCTTCTCGGTATATATGTCATGCGCGATAATATTTTATTCATTCTGTCTTAGCTTCGTATTCTAGTTAGATCCTTCTTGTTCTAATTGCAATTTCTTTTCACTGTTCTTCATTCTTCGTTTTCTTTAACACACATTCAATCGATAAAAAACGCTTAGTACCTTTGAATTATGTTTTCTCCACAAATTGAATGGAATTGTTCTCAGTGTCAATCTGCTCCAACAAATCTTCGAAAATATTTTACCGATTATCATTCGATGTTCACTTGGACATGCACGGTACCGATGTGAGTTCATCGAACGTTCACATTCACACCCTGACAAAAGATCTATTGATGAAGAATATGTAGTCACTCCCACAAAGAAATTTCATAGACGTGAATTAACAGATGAAGATAATGATTTCAATCGTGATATTAATAGTGCAAGAGCAGCTCTATTGTCAATATTAATCAACATCTCAAAACTTATGCTGTTTTTGGTGATGTTTACAGAGAAGCTATTGATGACTTTCATAAGACAACGAAAATCATACAAACTTTTTCTGCTCTATGTAATTTGAACTTAAATAAACATTCTATTCGTAGATAAATAAAATGATAAGTTGTATTGTCTAATTAACTACTTGATAATGAAACTCTGCTACTAATCTTTCTTGTTGTTTCAAATTTCTTAGTAGCGAATAGTGTACGTTAATACATACGATGTGAAGTACGTTTAACACAATGATTCTAAGGACGTACTTAACAATTCTCATTCTTGGTAACTTAAAGATCTCAAATAGTATCAGATCAATAGCATGATATATGTGGTGCAGCTGATAAAAAAATCACATTATCTTGATAAGTAGTCGAAGTTACATAAACAAATGAGTGTTGGGGTGCTAAGCCAGTTGATCACGCTCATATATATCCTGTGTGGCATATAGTAGTGAGCAAATAATACATTTCCATCAAGCACTAGAAAACTGGAATTCAGAAAGTTTCATGACTCATATAAGTCGATCTCTTGAGAATATTCTGAGTTTTACCAGCATTAAATCAAACGTTAAGGATATCTTTCAGTGTTGCTATAATGTTCAAAATCAAAATTTATTTTTATGAATAGTTTACGATTAAATTTATTTCCGAAGTCTGAATATTTAACTATACAAAAAACACTCAAGTCTTTCTAATTTTTTTTGACAAGTCATCCTACTTTTCGATTATTCCCTTGAAAAATTCTGAAATGCCTCCAACAGATTAACTTAAATTCAAATGAGTAGAGCAAAACATTCTGCTAGCGTCATGGGCCTAAAATTCATCTGTTCCGAAACTATGGTGAGCCCAAGAACTTAGAATTGATCTGAAGTGTTCTCTATCATCGTTTAGTTGATAAAATAAAAATTTTTTCTGTTGTATGTTTGTGTTCAAACAAGTTAGAGAGAAGAGTTTCAGCCTTATTTTTCTATTTTTTCACAAATTTTTTCATGTATTTTACTTTCCGCAATGTGATCATTAATTTAATAACACATTCAACTACATCATAGTTGAAAAGTGTGAAAAAAAAACTAAGTTTTTGGTTTTGACAAAGAAGACTGCTCAATACATGAACCAATCTTTGTTATGAAAAGAATATGGATACAGCGTGTTTTCCTTCAACTGAAGAGCCTTCGAAAGCGGTTTTTCTAACAATCTCAACAATAAATACTCGTATGAACTCGTTTGATCCTTTTCTGGAGAGAAAAACTGAACGAACTGTATTGAGGACTCTTCGTCTCAACAAAACATAGAGTCTATCTTCAAAATTAAATAAAAAGGAATAGAAATATTGCAGAAAAGTCATTAAATATATCGAACATGAAGATTGTGTAGTGAAACAACGATTGATGATTTTAGGCTTTTCTCTTCCACAACGCGAAAAGTTCTATGGCATTCAACCGAGAATACTTTCGAACTTCTCTAGTGACGAAGAAAATACCATGGAAAACTTTGAATTCTTGGGAACTGGATATGAAGGTAAACCTGGTTATGTACATACTTTACTGAAATTGGCTGGGCAATAAGAATCGACCATAAAATGATCGACACGCGGCGGTATTGCCAGTGCATAGGCGTTTGATAGCGTACCAAATGAAAGATAGCCAATATCATATTGACGAAGTTTTCTATCAACATAAAATTTTATTCCCGAATTGTCTCGACGACCTATTAAAGTAATAATCTAATCTAATCTCTTTTCTTTCATAAACGCCTGATCTCATACCCGATAATAGTCGTGGATTATCATAATGAATTTGAAGCAAATAATATTTGATAGGAAAATCACCACCAACAGGATAGCCAGCTACAGGAACATATTCTGAAATCTGTTTAAAATTTTTTATTATTTGTACGATTAAAATACACTCTTACGTCATCTGCACCAACAGACCATACAGCAACAATGTTTGATGTACATATTTTTGCCAGTTCCATCATTTGATCACATTCACCAGCAGGTAAACTAGTGTCGTCAAAAATGGTTGTTTCAGGTTCACATTCATACACATCCATATGATGAACGATGTCACGATTTACCGAGTCAATAATGAATTGATGCTGTAAAGAAAATAGATACATATATATAGGGCTTATCAAAATTATAACTCCCCTTTTATCTTTGAGATTTTTCAAGGAAGACGAATAGTTAGATCAAATCTAAATAGTGATTTCGATAGCCCTTCAAGTTCTCTATCGAAAACGGAATAGATCAAAATCACCCAAAAAAACTTTCCTTAGAAAGTTTTACAAAAAACCGAAGTGCTCCAAAAACAAGTACTAGAGGCATTTGAGAAAAACATTTCAAAATATAGTCATTTGAAAGAGCAAAAAATTCCGAGTAAAATGAGGGGTCGCTCAGTTCTCCACAATGTTTGCTTATAAAGTTATAAGTAGCAGAAAAGTGAAAAAAAAACTTCAAAGATTCATAAAAAAACCGCTCAAAATAGCCCAAAAACACATTTTTTTTCACTTTTCTAATGCTTCTATAAGCAAACATCGTGGAGAACTGGACGACCCCTGATTTTGCTCAGAAATTTTTGCTCTTTCAGATGACTATATTTTGAAATGTTTTTTCTCAAGTGCCTCTGGTACCTGATTTTGGAGCAATTCGGTTTTTTGCAAAACTTTTCAAGGAAAGTTTTTCGGGGGGGGGGATTTTAATCTATACTGTTTTCCATAGAGAACTTCAAGGGCTATCGAAAGCACTATTTAGATTTGATCTAGCTATTCGTCTTCCTTGAAAAATCTCAACGACAAAAGGGAGGCTATAATTTTGATAAGCCCTGTATAATCAATTAATTATTGAAATCAGATTATACCGCAACAGCATGATGTTTCATTGGGAAATGGCTCGGCGCTTTGAATACTTTGCAATAGTAGATTGTATCAATAGGTGGAACTAAATACTAATATGAAAATAGATGTTGCGAATAGATTTATCAAAAATTAGTTTGCAAGTTGTAACAAACATGATTCATTCGCCATTCGAACGTATCTAATTCAGCAAACTTGCTTTTCGGAGGTGGAATACTATAAGATTGAAGTGGAATGATACGTGAGCCTCGTCGATTTTCATGATATGAAATATCATCATCTAGCCGCGCCATATTTGGATCCGTTAAACCATATGCAAATATAAGAACGTTCGTTCCAGACTAGATAAATATATTCTACTACAGTATGTAAAACATTTAATAATCTTATACTTTAATTGGAACATCCATTGAATCACAAGTATCTAGTAAACGTTTAAATTGAATTGCTGTCCATCCATTTAGTTCACGACCTTGCATGGCATGCCAATCCATGGTTGTATCATCAGGAATAGGTTTTGAAAAACCAAATGCATATCGATCCTATTAAAATGATTGAGATTTTCGATAAATTGAGAAAAATCAATGTGTGTCTTATATGAATCGAAAGCAAAGTTATTTATTTTTTTTTGCTGTAAGCCAGCGTATTTTGTATATATATATATATATATTAAGGTTATTGTTGTCCGAAAGACAGTTTCTTACTTGAAAATGAATGTTACCCGCTTGATCGATCCAACCCACGCCGATATCTGCACCTGCCATACCGCCAGCTAGATATTCATTCGTTGAATATAGTCGAAGAAAAATTAGAAAATCTAGATCATCTCTACCTGGACTTATACCCAAAGCAATCCAACCTGTAGTTTTAATATGCAACTCGAACACAATTTCTTGTTTAATATCATCCACTGTCCACCATAGATCGGCTACATTTTTTTCGAGTTCTACCGAATAGTCGTACTTAGTAAATGGTCTGATAGGGCTTGAAATTGAATTAGTATTCTTGAATATAAATAGTGTAACGAATATTTGAAAGATACGAAGCATACACATAATCTTAATTAGAATATTTAAAAATTATAAAGTAGATGTTTTTTTGCATGTACAGATAAAACTATATATACATATGTGTAATACTACAAATGTGTTGTCGACCGTTATATTAGCATAATCTTCAAAGCACATTGATATTTATCCTTGAATTTGAATTGAATCGTATATTTTTCTTTAATGGCATAATCATGCACATTAGATTTATATGTCAAAGAAAAACTTGGGGAGATTAAGAACATTGTGCCATTTCGGTTGGATTAGAGAATAGATCACCTGGACGTTTATGCAAAGGATTTGTGAAAAAAAAACTGGTCTCGAACCTAACGAGAAGTTTCTCATTACTTTGTTCTAGCTCCAAATAAAATTCATTCATCATCATTACTAGTACGATCATCAGAAGTTGTTTCTATCACTATTGCTATTATTTTATAACACACATCAACTAACTTGATACGAGTCTGAATGCCACATTGGTCTACTACTGAGATGTTCTAACCAATTTAGAGTGTTATAGCTACTGATCATCAAATAATGAGGCTGGTTCAATCTATGATATATATAATGTTTGAAGGCCTCTTTAAATTGATTGAGTATCTACAAATATCTATGTTAGAGTTCTGCAAGCAGTAGTCTCTGAAGGATCATTAGGCGAAGATGAACTTCGTCCAATTTCAAATCTCTTTTCATAGTATAAGAGTAGAATCAAATAGAATACCATGGAACAATAAAAAGTAATATTAATTTGATGATCTCAATCTTTGTTTTTGAGCAAACGATCTTCTGGCGAGGTAATTCAGCTTTAGCTAACTTGTTTAAAAATGTTTATTCATTATTTATCATTGTTGTCACGAGCTACTTTCAGCGTGTATAATCGAGTTCAGATATCAAAATGAAAAAATAATTTTGATTAATAATTAAATTTGAAATTTCAAGTATTTTTTTTCAAAAGAATATTTCTCATTGAATATAATTTCATAATCAATCGTAAAGAAAACTTCAAATTTTTTATTTATCGAAAAATCTTTTGTTCTATGAAAATTAAATGTCATATTTTCTTCAATAAAAAACCAGTATTTTTATTGATATGTTTTATATTTCGGACCGAGTTGATTCTTAAATTTGTCGACTTTAGGTCGTTTTGGTAAAATATAAAATCGTCCGGATCGAGTTGATTCTGCTTTATTCATATAAAAAGTTTTATTATCCCGGTTCTCACTTATCAAGTACGATTTCACAATATTAGTGCATAGCGGGTGTGGGTGTGGGTGTGGGTGTGGGTGTGGGTGTAGGGTAAGGTGGGGTGTGTGGGTGTACTTTTTATTCTGCATCCACACCCACACACCCACATCCACACCCACCCCCACACCCACACCTCACCCACCCACACCCACACTCACCCACAAGCACACCCTGGTACATCATTATCTGCTGGTAATTGTTGGTTTGATATATTCGTTCGAATACCAGCGGTCGATAATATGTCATGTGAAGGACAAGAATTGGTAAAAGAATATTTGTTAATCATGCATTTTCTTCTCGGATACTACAATACAAATCATTTTGGGTAATGTTCATGGAGAGATAGAATTTGTTCAAGTTAAATTTGCTTATCCAACTCAGCCAACAACGATTGTTCTTAATAAGTTTCAATTAAATATCAAGCCAGGTAAGTGAGAACAATTTTCTTCTTATTTTAATCCTTTTTGTGTAATCGGGGCAATGTGTAGCTCTTGTTGGTATGTTTAAATTAAGTGTTTCTTTTGATTCTTGTTATTAACTTAATATGGTTGATTTAAGTGCATCTGGTATTGGGAATCAACAGTTATTCAATTGTTGGAACGGTTCTATGATGTTGAACATGGTCAACTGGTTAGTATTTCTTTAATATATATAGACTTTATTGATCAAATCTAGCTTCTGGATGAACTTGATATTCGACAATTAAACATTGACTGGATTCGTTTTCATGTTGGTCTTGTCAATCAAGAACCAATTTTGTTCGATTTAGCAATTGCTGAAAATGTAGTATATGGATTAGAGAATGTTCGCATGAAAGACATTATCAGTGCTGCAAGTAAAGGTAATATTCATGATTTTATTGAACAAGTACCTCAGGTCAGTCAATACAATAAAAAGGTGACTTTGAATATCTACTAGTATTATATATCATATTATTAGGGTTATGAGACAAAAGTAGGGACGAAAGGGAGTTTTTTAACATGTGATGAGAAGCAAAGTATTGCTATTGCTCGAGCACTTCTTTGTCAACCTAAAATATTGTTCTTAGATGAGACTACAAGCGCCATGGATTCATACAATGAACAAGTAAGTTTATCATTTCTGTTTATTGACAGAAGTTTTACTTTTCAACTGTAGATGGTTCAACAAGCTCTAAACAAAGTGCAAGCAGAAGAGCCTAGTCAAACATCACTCATTATTGCTCATCGTCTTTGAACTATTCGTTCATGTTATTTAATTTGTGTCGTCAACAAAGGACATATAATTGAGAGTGGTACTTATACAAAACTAATACAACGACATGGAGCTTATTATATGATGCCTACTTAGAGTAACTTATAATAGCAACTACTGAACTATTTTAAAATAGCAAAAAAACACTTTGTTAAACATACGAAGAAATTTTATCCGAAAAGTCTAATGAAATGTATATGTTTAGAGTCATAAAAATAACAGGTAGATGAAGTTTATTTGATTCGTTCAACGTACAAGTGTAATCAATAACTACAATAGGAGTAAAGAAGGCAAAAAACTTTTTATTAGCCACAGCAATTCTTGCACAGATTTATCATATCATGACATATTCTCAGCATGACATTGACAGCAATTATAATAGCTTTTGCAGTAACTGCATTTTCTAGTATAGATACAATAAAAAGGAAAAGAACATATGCGGCGAATGGAATAAAAACCAAACAAGTAACAATAAGTAAGATGGCATTATATAATCGATTATCATTGTTAAATTTGTTCATAAGATGTAATTTCCACACTATATAAAAAATCGTACTAATGAACGTCAGAACGATGCCGATATAAGTATGATGAAGAAGAAATATCGCTCCCGATGAATGATGCTTTAGACACAATTCAGTGTAGTCAAATATAGTGATAACAAAGGTAGGAAAGAGCAATAAACTTTCACTTAAAACGTAAGAAACAAAGAAACACAAGATTGTCCAAAGGTGGCTGTCACAGTCACACATTTTCTTATCATTGTCATCCTCTGACTTGTCTCGTATAAGTGAAAGACTTGATAGACCAATATCTACTAAATTAAGGAGAACGGACACTATAGTAGGCAGCCAATAAGCCATGAGAAATAAAATATTTTGTTTTGCTTCCTTACTAATTATATTCTTGTAAAGGGTTGATACATCAAAAGTAAATTGTGTATCCGATGAACAATTCGTTGTACCATTCAAATAAGCTTTGACAATGTAATAATATGAAGTCGGATCAACAACATGTCTTATTACATATAAATCACGGTTTTCATATTTTACATAATATTCTATATTATCTTTCATCAAATAGACAGTTGAGCCGATTGCATATAATGACCTCACAAACAAAACGATCGTCCCAATGTACGACATTTCTCGACGAAATTATTCGCTTGATTCTCTACGTATTCATAACTCCTTTATACTCAGACTAATTACATAAAAAATTTGTTCCCACGTGTCATCTTTGAAGCAAAAACTATGACTCCTAAAGGAAAACTACTAAAACCTTGTGTTTACTGATAACAACAGCATAAAATTATCTATGTTTGTTGAGCGACACATCTATCGTAGCTATTATTTTCTTGAGGGTACGGGTGAGAGTGAGGGCGAGGGGCGATGGTGAGGATGAGAGTGAGAGTGAGGGGCGAGGATGTGGGTGAGAGTGAGAGTGACGGGCGAGGGTGTGGGTGTGGGGAGGTGTGCACCAGTACCAGTAATTGGGTTCCAGTCGGACTGCGTACCCAGTCCGACTGGACACTCAGTCCGATTCGATACCCAGTCCAACCAGGTATCCAGCCCCACTGGTACCCAATTCACCAGCCAAGGCTGGGACTGGTGCATATGGCAGTTGTGCACAGGCTCTAGTAACTGCACCCCAGTCGGACTGGGTTTTCAGTCAGACTGGGTACCCAGTTCACCAGTCAGAACTGGGACTGGTGCAAGTCTAGGTGTGGGTGTGAATAATCGATTATATAACAATATCCGCACCCGTACCCACACCAACACACCCCACACCCAACCCACACTCACACCCACACCCACACTCACACCCACACCCACACCCTTTTGATCACTGCTTCGCGAATATTTCGATCATTGACAATCGACAATAGATCATCGAAACGAATTGTTTGTACAACAAGATGATCTTGTGCGTTTCTTGCCACTTCATTATTTAGTCTCTGTGAGCCAATATTATTTTCAATATTTGATCTCAATGATAAAAAGACACCTGATCGACTGTAGAGAGCACGAGGCACAAGAACAACGCGTTGTTGAACCTGTTCGAGTTGTATTGCTCGACGGATTCGCTCGATATTTGGATGAAAACATTCAATCGCAATCACAGTGGGACAGCCTAAGGATGCAGCATACATTGTGTATACACCGATATTGGCACCGATGTCGAAAAAGGACAAGTGACGATGAGTGGAAAGAATGCGTACGAAACGTGTCACCAAGGGTTCCTCCCAAATGCCAGCTGAAACGAGCAAACCACTCACATCTCGGTCTTATGTTATATCATGTACACATACGGTAGTACTATGTTTGTTCAATAAAATTTTAGTCTTGACACATCGAAATATCTCGTTAGTTACAATATTGAGATCAATGAGATCATGATAAGTGAACGACGATGATCTAAATGACGGTTGCGTTAAGTGGGGAGAATGAAAAGCGAGGAAGTATATTCGTTGAATGTATATCAGAATGAATAATAGACCTGTAAAACTGATAAAATGTGATATGCGC